TGAAAGCGCTAGTGGCCAGCTTGCCCTCGCTACGTACGTGTTGCCCGGGGGCCACGTTTTATGACCGGGCAGAATCTGGCCCCGTGTCTTCATGCTCCGAGCGACTTTACACACCTCCCCCGCGTCCCGACATTACCAGCGGTGCCCAAAAAAGGACACGACTAAGCGTCGACATTCCCAAGCTGTCGGCGTGGCCTGCCTCAGTTTCCCTATCTGGGAACAAGGATTCTCTTCCTTTGGGGAATGGCATGAGCGGGGGTTTCTCGGTGGCTGTGAGAATTTCGACGTGGTTCCGGAGGAAGGATTGGATCCAAACAAATTCAGCCCGGTGTTTCCAGTGGGTCTCTCGTCAAGATCACGTTTTTGCTGTCAGCGTCTTTTCGAAAGCACAACGCCCTTCGGCGTTAAACCGGCCCGCGAGCGATTGGCTCGGCATTTCTGAGCAGCGGCTCTGTTCTGCGCCCCAGCCTGAGGATCGAAACCACCACTGCCGAAGCGACGGAGGGCCAAGTTGTCAGTTGATGTCAATTGGCCTAGTGCCATTGTGGTCTCTGGCCCACAACCATTTCCATCTGTTGTGGGTCCGGCCCTGAATTTTCAGGACGATTCACAGTTTGTTTCTAGAAAGAAATACGTTAAAAAACGCTTTAAAAAGACCATTTAAACACACAGCAACAGAGTCAAAATAACGGGTTCAGCGACCAATTTCGGAGAAAGAGTGGATGGGGGGCAGCCAGCATCCCCCATCCACTCTTTCTCCGAAATTGGTCGCTGAACACGATATTTTGACTCTGTTACTGTGCGTTTAGAAAGACTATCTTTTTAAAACATTTGTTTCTAGAAAAAAATGTTAAAAAACGTTTTAAAAAGAATCTTTCTAAACGCACAGTAACAGAGTCAAAATATCGTGTTCAGCGCCCAATTTCGGAGACAGAGTAGATGGCTAAGTACGATTTACAGCGACCAATTTCGGAGACAGAATGGATGGTTAAGAACGATTAAAGGTAGTTGCTAACTGTTAACCATCCACTCTGTCTCCAAAATTGGTTGCTGAACCCGTTATTTTGACTCTGTTGATGTGCGTTTAGAAAGATTGTCTTTTTAAAACGGTTTTTAACATATTTTTTCTAGAAACGTTTTAAAAAGACAGTCTTTCTAAACGCACAGTATCAGAGTCAAAATATCGTGTTCAGCGCCCAATTTCGGAGACAGAGTAGATGGCTAAGTACGATTTACAGCGACCAATTTCGGAGACAGAATGGATGGTTAAGAACGATTAAAGGTAGTTGCTAACTGTTAACCATCCACTCTGTCTCCAAAATTGGTTGCTGAACCCGTTATTTTGACTCTGTTTCATCGTTTTAAAACGTTTTTTAACTTTTTTTTTCTAGAAACAAACATTTTTAAAAGACAGTCTTTCTAAACGCACGGCAACAGAGTCAAAATAACGGGTTCAGCGTCCAATTTCGGAGAAAGAGTGGATGGCTAAATATGATGAACGGTAGTTGCTAACTGTTAACCATCCACTTTTTCTCTGAAATTGGCTGCTGAACATGTTATTTTGACACTTTTGGTGCGCATTTAGAAAGATTGTCTTTTTAAAAAGTTTTTATATATATATATATATATTTGGTCTTTTCCTTTCCACAC